TGATCATCATTACAAAAGAAAAAGGACTGTTCTCCAAATTCGGCGTCAACATACAGTTCGTGATCTTCACGTAAGTTCTCCGGATTCTCATCGTCTAATGCGGGTATGGAAACATCATGCCACTCATCGTGATCTCGTCTAACCTTTGACTGATTCACACGTACCACTGCCTTACCAGTGTTGGCTTGGACCATAGCTCCTTCTTGTCCAAGTACTGTGGCGCGAACCCAACGTCCTTTATCCTTGAACTTTGATGAATCCTGAGTCCAAATAAAAACCTTCTCACCTTGGAAATAGGGACCGTCACTTGGCATAGTCCTTCTTGCAAGATCTGCTCGAAGGTCCTGAGCTTGTCGTGCTTCTTGATGAGCTCTCAAAGCTACACGTTGTAGTTCCAAATTTGTACGATCTTGTGCGGCTGCATCAGCTGACAATTGCTCAGGGCTCGCGGTCTCAAGGTCAAAAAGATCTGGTGGACGTCTTCCAGTTGCTATCTCTATTGGTGAATATCCACTGATAGTCAACTGACAATTTCTTGCCCACACTACTTTCTTGACCACTTCTCTGACCGTAACACCACGAAAACGTGGGTCATCCAGATCTACCTTCATAACATGCCACATACGTTTAAACAAACGTACAGCTGTCTCTGCTCGGTTCGGCCAAGGAGTTCTTGGCCCACAAGGACATTGTTGTATACCATGAAACCTGTAGTATTCAACAAAAGCATCCGTGAAAAAGGCTTCGTCTCCTACGATGGCCTTCGGAACACAATTGTTCTCATCAGACCATTGTCTCAATGCTTGGATGGTGGTTTGATCTATGAGGTCTTTCTGTGCCGTAGCCCAGAGAAGATTTGTGGCACCATCAAGAACAAGTAGTATGATATACTTGTTCTTGTGAAGTTCAACCTCACAATGATCAGCAAAAACAACATCACCAAAACATGAAGCTCTAATACCGGAGACTCTGGCTCGTGGCGGAGGTGCCACTGAAGTGTTACAAACACGGCAGTTCCTGACAACTGATTCATACTTCTCTAAAACAGAGTCAGGAAGCTTCAACATAGAAACACGTCTACGAAACTGAGTAGGACTCATATGGTAGTGCTTCACTTGATGCTTATAAAGCTCTACCTTGTCCTCCAGTCTCTGCAACATCTTCCTATGTGCCGGTGTCATTGCAACAACTTCACTACCAGGTAATGGGATTGAAATCCGCCTAGGCTCAAGAGCGCCATCACCTGGTTCAAGTGGTTCATGTTTATCACTTGATGGTCCTTTTGATGCTTTAGGAATTTCTACAAGTTCACCTTCTGGCCTCTCAGGTGGTTCTGAAGGAGTATAACCTTCAGGATCATCACCTTTTAAATCCTTTTGAGGCTCAGATGGTTTCGACTTGTGTCCTTTCCAAAATGGATCAAAACCCTTGGAAGTATACCGAAACTTTGGCGGCACGGGCTTTTCCGCGGCACTGGATGGTGCACCTTCCTTCTCTGAAGAGAAGCCTGGTTCCCTGTCCTTTGCAATGGGAACCTTCTCTGAGGAGGAGCGCACCACTGCATCGGGATCACCAATGCCACGGTGCTCAATGCCAGCCTTCCTGATCTTTAGATCTGGAATTTTTGCATCTGGCTTGAACTTAAAAATTGTTCTACCACGCCATTCATGGCCAATTTGTAGGTCCTTCCATTTTGCCTTGCGCCAATCATCTATCTTCTTGATCTCTTCTCCACCTTCTTTCTTCTTGATGATTGTCAGTCGCAAGTCTTCCAGCAAGTCAGTGTCTACAGGACAGGACTTAGTTGCTGGGAAAAGAATCTTCCTGTAATCCTTGTGGTGACGTGTTAGTTCTCTCTTGCGAAGATCTACTTCCCAGTAGTCAACCACAGGATATGCATGCTCAGCTTCATCTTCATCACTATTGTGATCAACCGAAATATGGCCATATTCATAGTGAGTGAAGTGAGAGTAAAAGCTCTTCTCGCGCCGAGCCTGCAAACGCACGTCAGACAGATACCATGCGATATCTTGGAAGTCCAAAACAAGATGAGTACTGGCTGCAACCTTCAACTCCAAAAACTTGATACCAAGAGGCACCGATGTCAGGTAAGCATGTTGAGGTGTCAGCCTGAGTTCAAAGCCTAAGTTCCTCATCTGTGGCAAGCTCATAAGCAAAGGGACTTCTCCTTCTTCAACTATGTCGAACTCTGTATGGTGGATCGTCCATGCACGATCATACATGTAAATCACCAGTTTCTGAGAGCAAGAAGCCTTCTGAGAATTGGCAAAATAGAACTTGCTCTTGGTAGACTCAAAAGAGTACCATAGTCCACAGTCTGGATGATTGTCGACATAGTTACAAAAATAATCGACTGCACGCCTTGATCCCATAGCTCTAGTGCATCCAATGTCCAGGATTGCAATAGTTGGCGGGAAGCGATTCTCAGTCAAAAATGAAATAGCCTGCATCTCTTTCACTTCTTCCTCAGCGCTCATAAGCGCAAAGCCATCAGGAGCATCTGTGAGCATCTCCTTTGACAAAGAGTACCTCACAAAGGCACTCATGTCATCGAAGATCGTCTCACCATTGTTGACCTTACAGTCAGCTTCATCTTGACATGAGGTCATCATGCCTGACAGCAAGTCCACCTCACTGTCATGGACTTCAGCTGCTGTTGTCACACAATGTGCAAAGAAACCTTGGTTGCTTCCTGATGCTTGTGAAGTTCTCGAAGGTGCAGGCAAAGAACGTGGCTGTTGTTGATTTGCATAGTTTGCATCTTGTTTGCCATCTCCTTTATCTTTTCCTTTTCCTTTCTTGCCTTTTCTCTTGCCTTTTCCTTTTCCTTTGTGGGAAAACCATGCTTCTTCAAGCTGTTGCCAAAAGTCATTGGCATCTTCATATTCTCCTTGAAGATAGTCATTCATATCTTCGGCAAGAATAGCATCATATGCTACTTGGTTTGACTCCCAAGTGTCCTCATAAGGATTCTCTTCAAAATACTCATCTGGATAAGTTGTCGATTGCTCATCAGCATAATGGCCTTTGCCTCGTCTCTTTCCTTTTCCTTTTCCACGAGGTCTGAAAAATCTGCGGCCTGATCTTCCTTTACCTTTTCCTTTTCTTCTTCCTTTTCCTTTGCCTTTTCTGGCTCTTCTTCCTTGGAATCTCCTCTGGAACCAAGAGAAATTCTGTTCATCATATACCCAAAAGACATCGTCCAGGGCATCTAGGAATCCTTCTGTTCCATCTTCTTCATCTTCGGCCCAATAGCCATATGTACCATCGAGTTCTCCTTCGTCTAGTACGAGAAATGATCTTCTACCTCCAGCACCTGTTGGCTGCATCAGAGGATTGTCTACTGAAGTCTTTGTTGTGCAGAACATCTCAATGAATACTGTCCTCAACTCTATTGTCGTGTATTGCTGCAGGACTCTACCACGATGGGTCATCAAGGAGGTCAAAGTGTTCCTCTGGTCCTGAGGCAAATCCGCAAGTGACAGCATGAGTAAGGCAATGAGATTCTCTCCTAAAGGAAAATCGTTCTGATGAAGAATTCTCAGATTGCCATTGACATTCTGCATAATTTCCTGAATTCTTTCTGCTGTTGGAGCTACTCCAGTCATCGCTGCATCTGCTTGCATCTGAGCTTGTACCTGAGGATGTACTTGTGTTACTGGATCCAACATGTCCATCCAACCGCTCATAAGCCTTTGGAGTAAGATCTGAAATCTTGTCATCCATTTCATCATATCAGCTGATCCGCGATTGAAGCGCACGAATTGCATAAACCTATACAGGAATACATTGGTGGATCCCTTCACAAAATATGGACGTAGTACTCGTTTGAAGTATTCTACTCCTGCTCCTGGTGGATCATTCGCCTTCAATGCATCTCTGTCTAATACTCGCTTGTATACAGCTGCTTCTCCTTCTAGTCGGTTTCTCAATGCTGGTCCTCTCTTCTCATCCTCCAGCTCGGTGATATCACACCAATCGTCTATGGCATCCTCATAGGAAAACCATGAAGTCTTTCCATCATAAGATGGGGGCACCTTTGTAGTGACCTGTGTTGTCATTGCTATCGCTGCTGGTTCTCTTCTCACATGCCTATTCACATAGGCTGCTGGCTCATAAGCCACATCCGCATCAGGCTCTTCCCAGTCGTCAATCCAATCCATGGCCGTTTGCCGACAAGCAATTCTATGCCTAGGAAAGGAGCTCACCTGGGTCTTCCAGGATCACTGCTCCGCTACCACTGAAAGAGTGACTAGGGCGTACACGGTTGAGGTGCAGACCGCTAGTGTCTTTTATGCGCAGAGTCTTATCCTCTTAGCGTCTTGAGCCTTATGGCAGTCAAGCATGGACACACTAGATAGGCCACTGGAGTGGAACCTGTACAAGTAGGCCTCTACATTTCAGGGGGGGTCTGTATTGAAAAATCAATTCGAGGTGGGGGGGTGGGGGGGGTCTGAATTGAGCGATCAATTATTAGACCCGGACGTCCCAACACTTGCTTCGCAAGACAAACTCAAGGTATCCCCAAAAGGGCTACCTTTCGTGATGAGATCTTCAATTCTTTTCTTACACAGTGACATGACCGAATTCGGAATATCTACGGTACTACTAAATGCTTGACAAGACCCCACTTTTTTACCTACAAAATGCATGGTGCCCCGCGAGCCAACAAAAGTCCTTTCCACAAGAAGACATGGAAAGCAATTCGGGATAATTCGGATGCATGTTGCAGGCTCCCACCCACAAAAAAAAGGATTTTACTACAAAATGGTAGCTCTATAGTGGCCTCAAGGCCCATCATTTTAGAAAGAAAATCAACCGGGATCCTTTTGTCCCTTCTATTTGTGTCTTCTTGCTCATCATGCTGACTTGGAACACAAAAGCAGAGCATCGGCCTAGGACTTAGGATGCTTCAGGGAGATGAATGATGCTGGAAGTTGGAACTGCCCTGATCTGGTATGCTGACCCATGCTGAACTCCTGTGCCACATCCTTTCCAGCAAAGTCTTCGACAATGGCGTACTGAGGAGCACCATTCCAGGTTTTGGTGAAACTGAATGCGCTTGGTCCATCCAGGTGCCCGAGGTCACCCAGGTCCAATCCACATAACCTTGGCAGTAACAAGGATGCTACTAGGGGCTCCTGGCATTGCTACTAGGAGCAAGAAGCTACTAGGGGCTCTTGGCCGTACTACTACAGTAGGAGGAAGGACGCTCCTAAAGAGTTCTCTTGTGTGAATTGGCTTGAGCTGAAGCAAACACCTCGGTGCATCCTTGGCGGCTCTCTGTTCCTGTGGTCATGCAACACCCAGTCAACCGGCCAGTTTGGGCGGTCCCCCAACGGCAGGTCTGCAACCAAGGCAAGCGGCAAAGTAGAGCCATGCAAATTCAAGGTTTGAGCCATACTGAGATCATGTCATATCAGGTCAGCATAAAATAAAGATTGAAGAAGTGTACAAGACTCAATGGCTGCCGTGCATGGCTGAAGTACTTAATTTCCAAGGCCATCTAGCACCATACAGTATCCTGCCTCTTGGGTCTGCTTCGGAGCCTGCACCACAAGGTGGATTGCTCATGATTGTACAGGCAACATTCATGTTGCAGGATTTGATACAGGACTGCAGGCAATGACGTCTGAAACTACACGAGTCTGAAAATCGGAGAGGTGTCGGAACAAACCCAGCACAGCCTTCGGTGCCAACTTCGTTGGTGGCTGGTTTGCTCCAGAGATCAACTCCCAGACATAGGCCACATTGTCCTGTCTGTCTGACCAGCTCAGCCTTTTGGGCGACAATGCTGAGAGATACCACTTCCTCTTCTCTCCTTAGCAGGGGGCCTGCAGTGCAAACACCCACTGCCACTGGCTTTGCCAGAATGAATCAGGAAACCAAGGGGGCAACTAAAGTGGGCAACTGGTCACCCGGTCTCCTGTGTACCTGCGGGCATCATTTGGGGACTTGGGGCTAGATGGAGCCAAGCTATTTTGGAGATGTCTACTTAATTGTACTTAAATATAGTGTTTGGAGGTTGAAATCCTGCCTTGCAAGGCGGGTTCGAAAAGGTCCGTTGCTGTCCTTATACATTTCAAGATGAGGCACAATTGAGGCCATCTCATCTCCGAAACAATTTTTGACGTGTTTTGTTAACGAGTTGCTTTTGCAGGATCGATTCCCATTCCTCAAGTTTGGAGGTTTGGGCGGTTGCTCTAATGGTGTATTGGCTACAGTAACCTGTCTGCTGTCCAGTGTTGGTGGGCCAAGAACGGCGCTGGCTTCCTGGCATCCTTCCTTGTCTTTTCAGCTGCCATTCCGTCCATGAACTTGGAAGCCGATATCCGATGGGAAGAAACTTTGTCGGTGTTGTCCGCTTCTGGTTTAGGACCCATTTTTCTGACGAGGCACCATACCAGAGCTTCTTGGTTGCATCATCGAAATGCAAAGAAATGCTATACTTTTGAGCCGATCCCTGAATCTTCGTGACGATGAAATCTCCACCAGGTCGGCCTCTTTGGGTCCAAAGGCTTAGTTTCTCATTTTCACGTGAAAAATTGTGCCCGGTTGCATCCTACTTAATAGAAGAATATACATAATGTATTGTTTATGGCTTGCATGATCCTGCTAGCTCTGTTGCTGGCCTGGTCGTCCGAAATGCCGACTGATCTGGTACTTTGCATGGAAAGACGCTTCCTGGAACCATGGCAAAAGTTTGTGTGAACATCTCACACTCTGTAAAAGCATCATCTGAGAGAGGGGTCCTTCCAAGTAGTTTGATCCAGCCAGGCAAAGTCTCGCGTGGACGTAACGCTGTTTACCTCCGCGACTGGTGGAGGCTGTGCTGGTGCTTTTGGAGCCGCCATGAGAACCATTTGGTTGTGGTAGCTCAGCAAATCGTGATGTTCAAGCACCTTAGCAGTCAAACCCTTTAAACTTTAGTCACCTGAGTCACCTGAGCATGAACAGCCACAATTCACCCGACAAACCTTGGCAGTTTGGCACGGAAAAGTGCATTCAAATGAGCGCCAGCCAGATAGCATTTACTCACTATTGTTTGCGCCAAACGCATCCACCAAATGGCGCCCAACAGCAGCAAATCAAAAGTATCGTTTGCCACTGGACCCACAGTGCCGAAAGCTCTAACTTCTAGAGCCCACACATTTCTCTCAGATACCCTGCCAGCCTCTTGGATATCTAAACCCGTCTTGGTGCCACTGGTGGAGAACCCCACCAACGGGAGTTTTCCGAGTCTTCCGCATTGCCGCGGAGGCGCCAGCGTTTTCAAGTAGCTGTCCATTTCAAGTGCATTTCGCTCCCCTCCGATGTCCTTTGCAAATTGCTTCGCGACCTTGGGAAATCAATTTCTTGGCATGGTTGATGCGTGCGGCCTTGCCAAGGCGCGCACGCAGCAGGCGTGCTCTGTTTATCCCTCTGTCTCTCTCTGTCCAGTCCATCTAGCTGCGTGCAGCTCTTAAACAAGCACTTCAGCAAGGTCACTAAAGACAGTGGCCAAGTCACTGTCGCCAGCTCGATGCGTCCACCACTCTTGCGAACAAATTCCTCGCTATTGGTCACGTGAGTCACGGAGCCAGTTGGAAAGGATGAGGCTGTCCACAATGGAGAAAGATCCAAACGAATCGCAAATATCTTGAGGTCAGTTTAGTTGAACTGTGGTGAGGAAACGCATTCTCAACTGCTGCGATCTTTGCTGACACAAATCAATGCATGTGTCTCCTGAATCCGCTTGGCAATGACCTTGCGGTCTTGAGGCTCACTGACCATTGCTCTTGCCTGCCAACATGCAAGCTGAAAATAACCCTGATTGTTCTGACACTCTAAAGTTTCAAGTATACTTTGCAAGCTCAGGTTCCGCTATGGTTCCAAAGTGCTCCCAACATCATTTTCAAGGAAAGGCGCTGAAAACACCGGTCCCTTCTCTCCGGTCCCGGTGCTTGGCCCCCATGTCCTGCGGCTCTTCGCCAAGCACATCTTTTCGAATGAGATCCTGGCACAGCTCCGGAGAAAGACTAACACCCTTTTGGCCCATCCCAAGTCCCACTGTGTCAGCCGCGGGTTCCTCCTTCGAACTCTCTTAATTAATGGATGTTTCAATTGGCTCGCTTAATCTCGCACTGGGAGAAAACGCCACCAAGCACCTCAAATTTTCGCGTACCCGTTGCATTCCTTCAGCTCAAGGAAAGCAATTTGCAGTACTTGCTGTGCATACCCAAGTTTAGACGGTGTAGGGGGATGTGAAAAGGCCCATTTTCCAAGCTCACATCCGATCGCCTTGGCAAAGTCTCGCTCTTTGAATACCACGTGCACTTGGCCCTTCCTTAGCAATCTCATCCCTTCAAGGTTCAATTGAACACTCCGCAGCACGCTGCTGAAGCAAATCCAGAAAAGTCTCCCACGCTCAACCATTTTGGGAAAAATGTAGATGCTCACCACGATGCCATCTTCTTTGGGCTCGTCACTCATCCAGCCTGGCTTGCCAGAACAGCACGTCGCCATAAACATGAGGATAATGGTAGGGTTCAAAGAAATCACCTATGAGCTTCGGGTACGAGGGGATGGCAACTGACGCGCTTCTGACACCTGAGCAAAAGCACCCCACTAGAGCAAAGCCACACCACAAACCGCCTTAGTGCATGCACCACCTCTAGTGGTAGATCCTCCTACTAAAGGAATGCGCCATACAGTATACATGCAATGGTTATCAATGGTTTGTCTTTAACGGTCTACACCCTCGCTCACCCCCTTGTGTTGCACCCGGGGATTGAACCCGGTGCGACGCATGGGGGATGCATACCCTCCTGTGCAATGCAGCAGGACAGGTATTGAACGGGAGTCGTGCCTCCTCGGTATAAAGCAATCTCAGCACCGCCACTCTTCTCGATCCATTCCACGCGTTTGGACCGCCAATAAGCGGCATTCCTTATGGCAACAAAACTGGAACAAAAGCGACTGGCAGGCTGTGTGAGGCAAATGTCCCATGAAGGGAGTGAGGACCCGCCGAAGCGATCTGTGTGAATCAGTTGGTGAATTGTGGATCTTGCCCGGATCCATCACCTGGGACGCGAGAGCACCTTGATTCAGGGTTGACAACACAGGAAGAAGGAATTCCAAATTCATGCAATATGAGCCACTGCAGCTGAAGCACCTACGACATCCTATGACTCTATGACGAACCAGCGGCCCAGCTTTCGTTTGACAGGACTCCAGGTCAAACATCATGTTCCAGTTCTTTGGCTGGGTGGAACTCTCCCGTCTCGATCGGGTTCTGTTCCAGTTGGGCCACAAGTCACTGGTTTCGTAGCTCTCGTCACAAACCCGTTGCACCTCCCGTCCACCAAACCAAGCTACCAGGAAGTGGCCACCGACGTGGCAGGAACTTGAACGACCACGCCGTAACTGCCGGGAAGACCGAGAGCGAGCAAGGCTGGTTCGAAAGTCTTATTGAGAATTGCTTGCTATCGTTCTTGGCTTCACTCTCACTAATTACCATCCCATGCTACTACGACCTACCACCCACAAGAGTGCTTTCCAAGGCCTGTGAGTGACTTACAGTGCAAACAATTGCGAAAGAAAGGCTCATCAGTGCTGCTGAGGCTAAGCGGCCGGACAGACCTTAGACTCTAGGCCTAAGACTCTTGTGCAGCGCTGTTTCGAGTGCACGAGTGCATTCGTTCGGAGCCCGCGGCTCCAAAAATCTGGCATCAGTTGTTTCAACTGTGCCGAGAACCGCGCAGTCCGCACACGGCTGCAAAAACTCGACCCAGAAGAAAACAATGTGCTATGGAATTCGTTCTACAGATACAGCGCTAACAGCGCTCATGTTCGAAAAATGAATCCATCAAGCTGCCGTCACCACTCCTTTCTGAAGGGCTCTTTTCTCCAAAATGTTCTTCAGTGACAAGTCAACACCATATGATGGTGCGTAGCGATTCTGGGGGTCAGTATAGCCCCACTCAAGCTGCAGCCCTCCGATGAGGCTGGGATCCACTTCCACGACCAACTTGATGTCCCTGGTGCCTGCCTTTTTCTTCATCTTCTCTTTGATCTTCTCCATCTGCTGCTCTGTTAGGCGTTGAGCAACTTTCACCGTGACTGGTGTGATTGACTGATTAAAGTACATACTCTGAACGTACTCAAGGCAGATTCTTTTCAGACCACGAAGGCGATTCTTCTTCGCCAGAAATACCTTGTGGCGGGCACGGATGCGTCTACAAGTAATGCTTCAACGGAGAAAACAAGAAACCAAGTACCTAAGCATGTCTAGAAACCACAATTTGTATGGCTGTCTGTCAAGCAAGGGTCAATGAACTTCGGCATCACGGTTGACTTGAGCTTCGGCAAAATCTTGACGGTCTCCGTTGCCTTTTGCAGTGCAGAAAACTTTGGGTTGCTCTGTATCAGCAGGAGCTTCTCCAGCCACTCCTCCTGAAAGCAAAGCGGCGGTGTTCTTTTATCTCTCACATCTATGCCGAGCATAGATATCTCTGAGAGCAAAACCTAACAAAACCGAGCTTACAGCACGAGCTTGCCAAGGCCTCAAGGAATTGATCCTTGATCTTCAGCACATCATCGGTGACAAGAACGATCTCTTTCTTCTCAATCGCCGCATCCATAAGCGCCTTCCAGGTGGCACCAGTTCTCGCTAAAATACCATGGGTCCTAAGTAAAGTTTGCAATAGGAAAATACGAGAATGCACAGCCTTCCCAGTTTTGTTAATGCTTTTGTGTGCCTCGCAACCAAGACCATGCTCGCCTTGGCGTAGGCCACCACTGGTCCAAATGGCTTCAATCCGGAACCATCTGCGGCTCGCTGTGTCAGGCTCTCTCTGCGAGGCCCAGCCTTTGGCATTGCAGAGAGCCCAGAGCGCGGCAAACTGGGCGTAAAGGCCGGCGCAAAAAGCGCCAAGCCCACCCCACACGTTAAAAGGGCAAGACCGCGCGCCATAATGTGCTGGTGGCACACCTTAGGCTAGGTTTTGCAATAGCTTGAGCCACGATCAGTCGGGTTCAATTCAAGCTTCGCGGCCCCGGCCACTCAAACAACCGACCGAACCTCCACCCGTGAATCAAAACATCAAATGAACCTACAGCCGCAAACACATCCGAACACCATGCGGCACAACCGTGAAAAAGCGTTGCGCCGTTGCGCCATTTCGCGCCTGTCAATGAGCAAATCCACCCTCTTCTTGATCAACTGAATGGCATGGTTGGCCTGCCACGGATGTCAGCCACTTTGCAACCATTCCTGCTCGACGGCCGACAGATGCGGCGCCCTGCCTTGGATTTAGATGTCGCAAAGATTGCTACCGCGATCCACTCGCCATAGGCCTGACCACCACTTCTTTTTCGCAGGATGCTGAAACCACCCCCGGCAACGTGGCCCAAACCCCGTGAAACCTACGCGCCTCTCGCGGAATCAACAAGCGAGAGCATCCGGACTCTTGGCGGATCTGCTTGACGACGCCGCCCTGTTCACGGCAATGCAATGAGCATATCGAAGACATGAAGCTTGCCAAACCAGTGGTGACGCACATTTCATGATCCAACATGATCCAACCATCCGTTGCCTCTTTGCCGTGCAAACCAGCAAGAACATTTGTACTACCTCGCCAACTTCGACGAAGGCCGGTGCATTTCTGGTAAAAATATGCACGTACAGTGGTCCGGCCTGGGATGTAACATCTCAGCGTTGGTTCCTTGTATTCTCCAATATCTTTGAGGCCCAGCTTCTTGCAAAGCCAGCCACACTTGTGAGTCTTGAAGAACATCTGCATGCCTGGCGCAGGAGCCAAACGTATGTAAGTGGACAGGGTTGTCTGCAATTTGGCACACCAAAGTCAAAGAGATGAAACGGTAGCCGGTTGGGAACTTCCCTCAAAAACAAGAGGTGGCCAGCCTTTCAAGCCCAAATCGCCTCTCCCAAAGTCATAGCTGGCCCCATCGGTCAGCACCTGATGCACACTTTCAGACCCATCGGCCCGCGTGTGGCAGCGAACGGCACACCAAGAATTTTGTACTGTAGCTTCTTGTTACTACTAGTAACAGGTGCCACGCTAGTAGTAACCAGTGCCTTACTAGTAGTAACACAAAAGCTTTAATTCTAATAGCTTCTTGTTACTACTAGTAAGGCACCTGTTACTACTAGCGTGGCACCTGTTCCTAGTAGCTTCTTGTTACGTGGCTTGACGAATTCTGCCGTGCTGGGACGGAGAGCGCCTGCGGGTCACTCAGGAGCCACTCCCGATTCTGGTCCTCCTCGCATGGGCCATGCCTTGGTCAGTAAATCAAATGCACTCCGGACAATCCAAACGTGCAAAAATGATGGACTGGTAGCTGACACATGGCCCATCCAAATCCACTTCTACATGGATAAGAAAGACTGAGACCCGCGGGTGGCTGGACATTTTTATGAGCCACATCCACATGTCGCCTGGGTCCCTCGCTTTCCACTGCGACCATCATCGCGTCGCCCAGTACAAACGCCCTGGATATCAGCCACAAGCAGAGCACCTGATTTATTGTGGCGCAAGGGCTTTCCAAATCCAAAGCTGTCCAGCGACTGTAAGTAGCAAAACAGTTGCTCTGTAGTCTGTTCTGCTGCCCCCACTGCTTAAGAATGATAGCATGATGTGGAACTGGAACAGGGCAGTGTGGCCCACTGTGGCATGTAGTGCGATAGTCTGGAAAGTAAATGCATGTACTGTGCATGCCAAGCCTGGTGGATTGGGTGAAGCTTGTAAAGAAAGTTGATCGAAAGACCCCCAATGGAACCATCTTGCGGCCACTTGAGGCTTCAGGACAACTACGAACAAACCTTTTTGAGCACACGGGTCGCTGCGTTGCATTCGAGCTACCCCTGCTCCACTCAAAGGTTGAATGCGAGAACGCCGCACCAATGTTTGCATGAGCCCCGTACCTGGGTCCAGTGTAAGTTCCTGCACACCTGCCTGCGCACTTGCACCACAACCACACCAACTACGGCCATGGTTTTTTTGGCATGGTCTGAAAAGAATCTTGTTGCGAGACTTTCATCGACTTACATTCAATTGTTCCCAATGAGGCTTTCAGCGTGTATCACCTGAAACGGCTACATCTCGTTGTAAACGGATGCGCTCAAACAGCGTCACGGCTCTGCAAGCAAGTAGCTCTTCACGGTTCACAAAGCCCGCGTTCGACGTGAGCCTTTGGGCTGTCGTTTGATTGAAAGGGACCCGTGACTTTAAGTTGAAGTCCCCACCCTCCGCTTTTGAACCCTACATGGGTGAGAACTCTGAAACAGCCAGTCCAGCTCTGATTCCAAATGGGCCAAGGCTCTTGACAAACTCTCCAGGCACATATTGCTCGCCACCTCAGCATGAAATGGAGGTCGTTGGCCATGGAAGGATTCAGCAATCCTACCGAATCCTGGGCAGCAGGCAGAAGCCTTCGAGCTCTTCTTCATCTTCTGCCGAGATGGGTCGGTATGCGTAGCATGGCACCTTGCGTCACTTGTTCGGGAAAGAGAGATGGTTAAAACTTATGGAACACTGGAACAGGTACCATGGACGCGCCACACACAGGGATCTTAAAATTTCGAGGCCTGCCATGGCCTGCCTATGCCTATTTTCTGGCCAAGGCACGAAGTCCAATGCCACGTCGAGGCCAGCACACTTCCGGCACTCCCTTCGGAAGTACTTGGCATAGTAGTGTGCAACCTGAAGGGTAGGTTCCCACAAAAAATAGATTCTTCTGAAACTTCTGCATGCGTAGCTTACTTAAGCTACAAGTTTCTTCCTCTTCTCCAGTCTCAGCCCCTCTTTCAAGAAATGCACAATATGCATTATACTATATATATAACGTAACCCACAGTAGGAAAGGAATGGAAGGAAAAAAACAAAACCAAGTCCAAGGAGCCGCAGTTTGCTTCGCATAGATGTCAACGGTCGTCCTTGGCAACTGTTCGGTTCGGTCATGACACTTGCCATACCTGCTACGGTCGCCCATCTCCGTCGGGCTACGGCGAAGTACAGAATCTCCACCGAACATCTGATATCCGAATATCCAAGAATCAAAGGATCCACATCACCCTGCTCCACGAACTTGCTCATCTTTGCGACCATGTTCGTGCGTTTCTTTCTTTCTGCCTGCTTGTCAAGGCCTTGGACTGGAATGCTGAACATATCTCAGTGACATGACCCAAAGTGGATCAAAAGCTTGCAAAGGGAAATCCAAACCGAACACACATCTCTTTGCACTGTCCTATGGCTTGAACTGAACTTCATGGGTGTCTTTCTGTACTGTCACAGTATGCATACACGGAATCTACAGCTTGAAGGGATGCTCATGGGCGCATGCATGCTTGTCCTGCGTGCTGTCTGTAGAGAAGGGGTCCGGCATTGCATGTAAACCAAGCAAACGGTGCAAAATGCAGCGCGGTTACATCCCCTCTGGCTAGACCAGCTCCCAGCGGCTACTAGCTGCTTGTCAAGATGCCGAAATCACGCATACCATAACCTGGACACGATGCACTGCTGGGCTTGCAGGATGGGAGCATGTTGTATGCAAGAGCGCTCATTGCAATCTCGAAGCAATGTCTCATCCCCCCTTTGGTAAAGGGATTTCTCCGCACGCACACAAGCGTCTCCTCACTCCTCAGCTGAATTCCAAGACGCCCCTTGATTTGCACAGGTGGCCACTGCATCTACAACTGTTGATAGCGGTAGCTAAAGGTATGGCACCAGTGGACGCAAGAAGTAAGGCACATCTAAATTTCAAGCAAAGGCACTTTGAGTGAAAATTGCCTCCAGCCACATGTCATTCTCTGCCCAAAACAAAACTCCAAGACTGGTTCCCAATACTGACGAGCTGGAAACTGTTCTGTGAGAATGCTTGGACCTGGGACCGGATAATGATGCTTGTGCCAAGCAGCTCCCATCGAACTCGTACCAGATTCTGTTGGCCTGGTCCAACTCACATCCAACACACTTCCCAAATTCCCAAATGAATTGGCCCAAATATAAACCAAAAACATCCAAAAACGAACCAGCATCGGGCGCGTGAGACCGAACGAACATCACGGTGCCTTGATGTCACGCTTGCCCATCTCTGTGGCATCATCGAGATCGAAGATGACGTTCCGCAGCTCGAATGTCTTTGCCTTCTCCACACGTTCCTGTGAGGACCCACGTGCAGCACTCGCATGCAAGTCTGCATGCACACCCTCATGCACCGAGCCTTCTTCTTTTTCTTCCTCTTTTCACCATTCTCTGGGCTGCTCTCTCCAGCCTCTTCTTCAACCTGCCGGCGCAATGCTGCATAGCGCCATGCCAAACCATCAAGCTGCATCTAAGCTCAAAGCTACACTAAGACTTGTTCGCAATGTCTAGAGTTCCGTGGTGCCTCTTTCTTGGACCGCGATACCGTGCGGGATGCCGTGATCGTGCTGGTGACCTCGCTTTTCGGAAAGTTCAGCTCAGTGGAAGCCTCTTCTCAACGAATTTGGCAGACTTAAATTGACAAGTCGGAACAGAAGAGTGTGGGTGGGAGATGCTGAGTGGTAGACACGCAAGACACATCCCGTGCACATAGTAGTGAGAACAGTTGAGGCAATGATCCATGTGATAGAACAATGAAGCTGTTCGGAGAAGGCGTGTGGGTGCATATCCACATTCGCAGTATGTTCGCATATGTTCGGTGCACGTTCGGCTAAATGCTTCTCCAAATATGTGCGAAACATGTTCGCATATGTTCGCCACCCCAATTGGCTCTCCAAACACGTGCATCTGGGTCACGGCTTTGAACGCCCCTCGCAAAGACGTCGTGCTGGCCGATGCACGGTGAAAGTGTCCTTCACCCACCTGGGTCTCGGCT